TCCCAAAGCGTGTAGCACACCAGGGTCGTCTGCGTGCCAGGGATATCCATAAGACCAACATCGCGTTTGGTTTGATGGCACGAACCCTCTCAGACCGCGCAGCCAATCTGATTCTCCGGGTCTCCAAAAAGGAAGTATTGCTGGGACCAGGAGGAGGGGCTAATAACGGCTTAGGGATGCAGGATCGAGGGGGAACAGACCTCCGAACTCCAAATTGAAATCATCGGCCTCGGGGTGTTTAGTAACCCGATTACAAACCCACCGGCAAAATCAGCCGTGCAGCAAGGCAAGACGCCAAGCAGGCAATGAGCAGTATCATCAATGGTTAACTGGTGGCACGGCAGGCATCTGAAGGAAGACGCTTGTTGCTCTTTGTTTTGCCGGCGGCATGATGGGGGAGATCTAAACAACGACTAGCTCTGGGTCCGCTCTCGGCTCCTCTCCCTCCGTCCATTGACCCGGCGCTCAGACCTGCTCGGCCGACGCAGGTTTCCACATTACTTGCTGAAGACGAGCCTTCTCGTCCTCGCCGCCGAAGATGGAGTCAATCCCTTGACGAGCGAGCGTGCAAATGTCGTCGCGGGAGAGCTTGAAGTGCTCCGCCACCAGCCTGTACTCGTTGGACAGAGGGCTGCCAAAGACGCCAACGTCGTCGGTCTATTTGCAGCCTGCGAGTTAGCACAGACTTTGACTGACTGCTTGACAGAGAATGAAGATGGCAACGAAGGGAGGGGGGACTCGAAACGTACGCCGAGAGATATTACGCTGCCTTCCACGCCCACCACTCTCCGAAGTGATGCCCCTCGAAGCCGCCCAGGACCATGCCGGCGTGCACGTTGCAGCTGAGGCACAGCTCGAGCCCGATCCTTTGCTCCACAATCGCCTGCTTCACGTCCTCGCCGAGGTGAATGACGTGGCCCAACCGCTGCGGCTCCCACGACAGGATCTCGGCGAGCTCGCCGGCGGTGCCCGAACACTCGGCCTCTCCAAAGTGTATGGTAAGGCCCAGCCCGAGCTTCTTGGCCTCGGCAAAGGCGCCACGGAAGATAGAGACGTCTTCCTGTCCGGGGACGCCGTGGACGCGGGCGGCCGGGTCGCCGCAGAGGTCGACGCCGACGACGCCTTGCTCGCGGAACTGGGCGGCGAGGCGGACAGTCTCGTGGGCTTGGGCGGGAGTGTGACGGCGGTCTACGGAGAGGATCAGACGTGTGCGCATCGTCTCCGGGCCAGGGTGCGCGGCCTCGAAGGCGCCGATTGCGGAGAGAATTGTAGAGACGTAGACGGAAGCCGGCTGTGGGGTTGGTAACGGGAGCGAGCGCGGCGTGGTGCGGAGCTCAAGGTAGGTTACGCCGTCGGCGTGGAAGTCCTGGAGCACGGAGAGAGTCGCGGCGCATAGGGTCTCTGGGTCCGTTATGAGGTTGTAGATGTAGGATGAGAAGAGGGGGAAGAAGCTGTAGGGGGCGTGGTCAGAAGGGGTTAGGTCGGAAGGGTTGGAGGCAGAAGTGAAAAGAGTTGGAAAGAAAGGAGAGGACGTTACGTGGTGAGATTGTAGTCGTGTTTGCCGTCCGGCATCTCGACAAGGGGATCTGCGAGGTCCGTCTCGCCTGCCTGCTTCTTGCGGACCCAGATGTCATGAAGGGTGCGGCGGCTTACGCTGCCTGTCAGGTGGGCATGGAGCTGAGCGGGTATTAGATAGATCTCGGTACTGGGGGATGACTCGATAGTGCAGGTGTAGAAGAAATGCTATACCTCGATCTTTGGAAGGGCTTTGAAGTCCATGTCTGCCGCTGGCTGTGAGCCCATCGTGTTAAGCCGTGTTGGTGGGCCTTCTGACACGAGCTTATCAACCCCTCGTTCGGTTTTTGTTGTGTATCGTTGGCTTGAGACAACCCGACGCTGCAAGGTGCCGAGATGAGCAGGCTGGTTCGCGGCTGGTGAACGTATAACGTGACCGCCCAGGTGGTTGGTGCACAGAGAACCTTCAGGGTAGCTAAATGGCGCTTTCTTTTAGCCGGGAGAAGCAAACAACCAAACACGACGCAGTCTGTGAGGCGGCAGCTTGTGCGAAACCCGTTGAAGCTCACATTGAATGCTCAACAGTAAACATTGATGGAATGGTCGTAAGCCGTGAGCGCAGTACCTTTTCTTTTCCTTTTTTTTTGTTGCGGGGAATGGGAGTTGGCGCCCATCGGGAAAGTTGGGAAAAGATACGGTGGCCCCGATGGTTCCGAGGCGGAGCAGGCCGATGGTGCCGATCCCGGAGCTGTCTGGTTTCCCGGGGTGGGAGTCGGGCGGGGGACGCCGCTTTTCCAACGCCGCCGTGGAAGTGAGACATTCGCACCGGGCTCCGGGATATCAGAGGGTGGGGGAAAACGAAATTGCCTAGTGCTGCTGCAAACGGCCGCATCATGCGAAGAAAAATGGCAATGGCTTTTGGGGCTTGGAAAATCCACCCAAAAGCTCGTAAGTCGGCATGCCCCAGCTGGCTTAAAGCGAATCACTCGCCCGTTTCAATGCCACGCCATCATTTCCGCGCCTCCATGGGCCGCTGGGAGCTTTTCTTCCGTCATTGCATTCTTGGCCTGGAAGCAGCGCCACTGGCTTGTTTGAAGGTGGCTGGGTCTGGGTGCCGCCGTTGAGCAGTCCCCGATGCCTGCTGTTCATTGAGGGAATGAAGTTGTCCGCAGCACCGGAAGATGTTATCATCGTCATTGTTTTTTGTGGTATTTCTCGGTAGTATCCAAATCCATTGGAAATGATGGGGCAGCAGGATGTACATATATGATTGTTCAGCATGGTCGAACAACACCTTGAGTTTTTTTTCTCACGCCTGCCCCTTGGTGGCCTTCGTTCCTTGCTCACATCGTCTGGTTTGGAGGACCAACGATTCCTAAGCTTAAAACCGGGCTTGGATATCTTTCGAGACCACTCACGTTTCTAAACTCTAATTGGTACCATCTCAAACGATGGATACGCACCCAGCAAACTAGCCATATCTGGTTGTGGCGGGCTTTGCCTATGGTGATGTTGGCCAGGCTCTCACTTTGAAGGCATTGCGGCAACTTCCCCCTTGATGTATCGCCAGTCCTTCGAGTTTCTTTCATCATTAATATCTAGATAGCGAATCTGGACGAAAGCGGGCCACAAAGTTTGGACGTAACTGCTGCGCTAGGTGATGGATCTGCAAATTCTCACGATTTCAACCGTATTGCCCGTTTAGGGAAGGTCTTGCGAACTCTGCGCCTACCCAGCACCTGGTTGATCCCGGCGTAACTTACAGAAGCACTAGATGGTGAGATTCGGCTAAGTGTTACTGAGGCGAGAGTTGACTTGTGACCGCCGAGTAAACGATACGAAATGACCACCAAGCAAGAGGAAGCTGCTGGAAAGTGTTCGTCACATACAAATTGTTCGCCTCATTTCCCGCCAGATCGCTCAATGGTCCATGAAGCTTAACTAGACGTTGCTTCCAAAAAAAATTGTAATACTTTACGCACCGCCGAGTCCTCTGCTTCGTCCTCGAATTGCTCGAGGCCGTTTAGCTCTGCAGGTATAGAAGCTGCCAGACTGTTGTGTATCCATATTCTCGAAGGTGATATCCAACGGTCGTTGGCTTTCCTATCCAGGCTCAAGTAGATTCACCGAGAGTACTCGCAAGGCAGCAATCTGCGTTGCGGGCCACGATCGAGCAGAATGGAAGAACAAGTGCTGCTATCTCTCTTTTGCGTGCTAGGCCTGATGCTCCCACCCCCCTCCTCTCGTGTGCCGGCTCACTAGCTCCAACCGTGCCTTCAGCACCGTTAAAGTTTACACCGGATATCGTGATGAGGACAATACATTCGGACTGTCTTGTTATCTTCGATGAAACCGATTTGGGACGACCTCGGCTTCTCTGCCACTCGAAAGTCATTTTCCAGGCCCTAAACGTGAATTTTCTGCCGTTATGTTTCCCATCCATCCGGGGTCTAGGTGAGACCAACCTTTCTTGTGCTTTTCCATGACTTCATGTGGCATGGATATGTGTGAATAGTCAGGAGTGTACTTACTTGTTCCTCCGTTCGCTGTCGGTACTAGTCTGTCTCTTTGTCCGAGACATATTCCGGGCATTTTATATCGAACTGACGGCGGCCGGCCGTGATAGCTTGAGTTACATCGAAGACCGATGTAGCTGCTAGCTGATTATCGACAGTTCGAGAGCCCGCTTACGGGAAACCGAACTTCTCGTAATGCTGACGTACGCATTGCTCCCTTGGATGACGCGTGAAGGTTGTTGATGCCGATGAGCAAAATTACAGGAAGCAAGTTGCCCAAAGGGAGACGATCAAGGCCGGCATCTCAACGCTGGCTCAGCATGCCCGTGCTGCTAGTTCTGCGGAAACGTAACCCGTCTCTGGATCCGTGGACACGCCACGTTTCTTGCCTACCATTTGTTCGGATCCCAAGCTTGGTCTGCTGAGGGTAGTGGCAAGGGTAAGCCACTCCCGAATTCTCGGCCAAGTCGTAAACAAGCATGGCAGAAGGTGTTGCTCCGCCCTGGTGCTCCTCGGTCCAGGGGGTGAAATCAGTGGTGAAACCAACACAACGAGTAGCAGGTAGCAGCAGGCAATCACGACGACTAAAACTGCTGGGAACGGGATGAGTATTAGAATTTCATCATGATTGCAAGTGGCCATTCCTATCGCGGCCTCATGAATTCCTATAGTACAAGCAATATGGCAGGGAAACCCCATCCTGCCAACCATCCATGACCGCAATGCATGCAAAGTTCCGATTGTCGTGGGTGTGTTGTAGAGTGTGTGAGAGTTGTCTTGATATACAGTTCCGAAGCGCAAAAAAAGCAACGCAAAAGTCTGTCCGATTCCGAGTAAGGGGGTGTACGGGGTGTCGTCAGGCCATTGGTGCGCGGTTCCGGGGGAGTGTTCGATAAGCTAAGCTTCGTCCTTCCTAACTTCGCTTTGCACTGTGGTGAATATTTTTGTTGCGTTTTGAAGTGTGGTGATTTACAGAGCGGGCTTGGCCTCGGCGCGGTCGAGAGCGAGGCCGATTTGGTCGGCAGTGCTGCCCTCCTTGCCCTCGCCAGCGGCGAGGAGTGCGTCGCCGCCCATCTCGCGCATACGGTATTCGCGCTCCATGCCCTCAATCTGCTGGTCCTCGGCCCAGCAGGTGGCCAGGGGAACACCGATCATCAGGGCGGTGGCGCAGACGACCCAGACGGTACGGGAGCCGTAGTACCACGTGTTCTGGACAGCGCTGACGCCGAAGTCGACCTTGTTGCTGATCCAGCCGCGGGTGGTTGGGGGGACAATGTCCTTCAGGGCGTAGAGGCGCTCAGTGAAGGACTCGTCGCGGGGGTCGTAGTCGCTGTCGGCAGAGATCTCAGAGTCTGTGGGTTGTTAGCTAGCTGGTCGTGTGACGTATGCAATACGCTCGAGCTTCGCAACACGAAAGAATCGGATTCTCGTGTTCAACCCTCATGAGCTCATGAATTCAACATACCGGTGTCGGTGAAGTCGCCATCATCCTCGATGGGACCGGCCTGGCCGGACTGGAAGTGCTCGTCCTCGACCTCGGTGAGTTGAACCATTATGACTGGGATTTGAGAGCGGCGCTCGTTCCTAAGTTTCTGTTCGACTGCGCGTCTCGCTTTCGCGGAAATGTCGATAAGACGGTAGCGGATGTAGCCCGGGGGCGTATGAAGGCGAAGGTTGAAGCCGACGGGAAGGGCAACGAAGAAACCGAGCTCCTGGAGCCGTTCAAGGATCGCTTGCTGGTAGAGGCCGAAGCGGAATGACTTTTTCCAACCAAAGATAGAGAGCTGACGATGGAGCTCACAGACGAAGTCGTTGTCGAGAAAGTAGCCTTGGTCGTCGAAGAGGGAGGCGTCGTTGGGATGGAGTTGAGCTTGGAAATGGGCTAGGGGAGGTTCAGCAACAGCTGGGCCAGACATGCCAGTTGAGGGACCCATCATGAGAATTTTTGGGAGCTAGCGTAATTGGGAGTGGTCCGAGCGTCTCCACATCGGAAATATGGTTTCTCCGAGGATGACGTTGGTTTTATGTAGTGACCGGGTGCACTGACCATTTATGGCTGCTTTCTTCCAGGCCCCTGCCTTCCATCCCTAACTCAACATCCATCACAGAAGGTCTCGTCCTGACGTCTTGATAAAGGTATCGTATGCAATACTGACCAAAACAAGTATCTGGTTCATTGCTTACTACGATGAATGAGATACACTTCTAGAAGCAAAGGTAAAAAAAAAGAAAGGATAACAGGAGAAAAAAAAACCAAAACCAGATCCCAACCTCTGTTGTCATTCGTACAAGATCCTCTGCCTCATCCTTCTCACATTTCTTTGTAGTCCGACTTCTGCTCACTTGCCTTCTTTCGGTCCAATGAGGAAACGTGGTCCCGTTAGACTAGGCGGAGCTCATATGCTCCATATTGTATGCCTATATCTACCACACAACTACTTCTTCTCTCAGCTTGAATGAAGTCTGCAAGACTGCTTTTACACAAGACCCATCAAATCATTTCTACATTTCGGTGATGTCTAGCGCTATGACACTGAGACCAGGTAATTAATATGCAAGAGATACTCTTAAGTCCTCATCGAATGAAGGCTGCTTTGTGGCTCGTTATAGAAGAAGCACTGATAAACAGGGCATTCTTGTCGCGAAGAAGCTTACAGCTTCAAGCTGATGTCCGAGGGGAAACAGAACACTGAAGATGGGCACGATGGAGAGTGTGAACATCTCAACGGTTGTGCCCAAAACGCCAGGAAGTTGCAGCTGAACCTACCGGGTCGATGGGTGTTCGACCACGGGGTAGAGGAGACCGGGACGGATGTTTTGCCGAAGCTGGGGTCAGATCATCATCAGATTTCTCTAGGGAACGTCCGGCCCCTGAGGCTCACACCCAAAGAGAAGTCTGAAATGTACAACGCCCGAGATCCCCGTCGATACATGAAGCCGAAGCCCCCTTCACCCACAGCTAGTCCGACCTCGCCCCCGTCTCTACCCTCCTTCTTTCTACTCCTCCTTGTGCCCGATCCTGGGCAAGCAGAGCCACAAACCCAGCATGACGCCCAGGAACGCAAGAACGATGGGCTGCAAGACCTGCACGCCCTTGGCCTGCGCCAACGCCCCAACGGCGAACGGCAGAATAGCCGCCCCGCTACCCCCAAACGCCGCCGCGAACCCGATGGTGCTGACGTGCAGGTGCCGCGGCAGCAGCCTCGTCGCCGCCACCACGACGGCCGGGAAGAACGGCCCGAGGAAGAACCCCTGCAGGGCGACGGCGACGGCCGAGACGTAGAACTGTGGCACGAGCCAGAAGACCAGCTCGAGCGCCATGGTGATGGGGATGTAGATGGACACGGCGAGCTTGACGCCCAGCCGGGGCGTCACGAAGCCCAGCACCACGCGGCCGAGCGTCAGGCCGAGCCAGAAGCCGACCGAGGTCATGCCCGAGTCGAAGGCGTCGGCCCTCCGCACCTGGATCATGAACTGGACGATCCAGCCGCCCAGCGAGACCTCGGTGCCGACGTAGGCGAGGAGGAAGAGCGCGCTGAGCCAGGAGACGCGGGCGTAGGGCCGTTTGAAGAGTGCGGTCCGCAGCCCCGCGTTGCTGCCGTTGTTGGAGTGGCTCACCGTCTCGCGGTAGACGGCCCCGGTCTGCGTCCAGAAGGCCGCGGTGCACCAGACGAGCTCGATGACGGCCAGGCCGAGCTTTTCACAATGTCAGCCGGTCTCGGGGTCTCCGAATTTTAAAAAAAGGGAGAACACCCCGTGGGTGCTGCCACGCGCGGCCTCCGACTCACCATGACGTAGTAAAACGTCCACCACCCCAGGTTCCCCTTGTTGATCATGGTCGTCGCGATGAGCGGGCTGATGACGCCGCCGACGCCGTAGCAGGCGTGCAGGAAGCCGAGGACCTCGTTGGCGCGGTCCATGTTGCCAATGTACGCGTTCCATCCCGCGTCGCTCAGGCCGTTGCCGAAGCCCGCGAGGATGAAGACGACGACGAGCGCCGGGTAGGGCGGGTGCTGAGAGATTACGACGTAGGCGGCGATGTGGCAGACCGAGGCGAGGATAGCGATGCCGCGCTGGCCCCAACGCAAGTGGATGTGGTTGTTGAGCAGGGCCGACAGGACGTAGCCGACAAAGGGGGAGAGGAAGACAAGGGAGACGACGACGTAGGTGAGGTTGTAGTATTTCTCTAGCTATGGGATCGTGAGTGGGGGGTTCACAAGAAGATCCGGGGGCGCTCCAACGTACGTAGGGGATCAAAGCCTAGTTTCATGTCAGCTGTCGTTCACTGTTTGTTGTGGGACGAGGTCGGAGGCACTTACACCGTAAGCAGCGTCGTTGGCGCCCGAGACAAGCAGGCTCCAGAAGCACGAGAGCACCCTGGACATGTTGGACCTCGGACGGTTCCACTTCTGGACGACGGCGGCCGTCGTCGTCGGGGCCGGGAGCCCGCCGGTGGCGTCCGTATTGGACCCGAGGCAGTGGCCCTCGGTGTTGAGGAGGCTGCCATCCTTGGGTGTCGGCGGCCGGCCCAGGGCCTCGAGCTGGACCGTCAAGGTTGAGGATCCGGTTTCCATGATGAGACTCCGCTTCTCGAGGTGTACGCCCAATATTCGAATTAGGGTTGCAGAGGCTCAGCCGAAGTTTCGTACGGGTCGTCCCAAAAGGCTCAACTGAACTCCTTTATTGAACGAGAACCGTAAGTTGAGAACCGCCCGCAGTACAGTCGTTGCAAGTCGAATGGGCAAGCCGTGGGTTTTATGGCAATCTCTTGTTGCAGGGTTGGTACAAAGGACTCACAAGACACAACGAATCAGATGCTCGACTATGACATTATGCGTATGGGCATGTGGACACGTCTACACGCAGCGGCTTTACCCCAGTTTCCCCAGCCTTTCAGACGAGCCCGACTCGGCACCTTGGCAAAACATCACGGACGGAGAATGTTTCGCGGACGGGACTAGAGAACAAGCCTACAGATAATTGCAGGCCGGTATGACTCAAGACTCCCCCAGCCAAACAACGCGGAAGGGACACGTTGGGAGGTAGATCCCCAGCTGGCTGCAGTCTCTGACGGGACACAACGGGGAGTGGCCCGAGGAACCGGCGCGGCACTGAATAAGAGCTGGGAAATGATCGGTGAAGTCTGGATGGGAGAGTTCAACCAGGTGCGGTTGCGGGCGCGGACCCGCTGTTGCGGGTCTTGTCCTGGTCCTCCGGATCACGGAACGCAGCCTACATAGTACTATACATAGTATGTAGAGCTTGTGGAATACAAATCCCGGCCGGCCCCACCCATTTGGTTAGCGTGCATTTCGACTATTGCCCGAATTGGATGCACTCCCAGCTCATCCCTCGTCGCTCCGCTGGTCTCCGACGCGCGATAGTCCACAACGTCGTCCAGGCGCCCAAGGTGCGTCACAGGGTAGTCGGACTCAGTGGAATGTGAGAATGTCAGATGGCTCAGGGAACTGGGCGGAACCCATGGACTTGGCGACTTACGTTTTAAGGAAGACGTGCAAATCCTTCTTCCCTTGCTGCAGAATTTGGTGTTCCTAAACTTGCAGTCGACAGGCACTCTCCTTTCATGAGGGGGCCATTTCAACAGTGCAAACAATGAGTCTTCTGGGCGATCGACTAACCAAAAGGATTCATGAGATTCGTAACTCTATAAGCGCGGATGCAAAGAAATGGTATATCCATCCAAAAAGAACATGCCAGAACTCCCTGAGATCCACCATGCCTGCGGCAACGCAGCAGTGACCAAGAACCCACTTTGAACGCCAGGTATGCTATGAGATGCAAAGATGAAGAACAAAACAAAGCAAACAGGAACCCCAATTCTAGAAATGAACACTTCGCTTCTTGGCGATCTTTTGCTTCTCCTCCTCGGTCCGGTCCCGATGGAAGAAGTTACTGACACTAGCAGCCGGGTTCGCATACGGACCTTGGAGCAACCCCGACATCAGGTTCGGAAGCTTACCCCGGCCGCCCTGCTGCTGCTGGGCTTGCTGCTGAGCCGGGCTCGGCTGCGGCGCAAAGTGCACCTGTTGCGGCGGACGGTATGCGCTGGTCCCTGGTTGCCCGTTTTGATAGGGTCCCGCGCTCAGAGGCCTCGGCGGCTGCGCCGGTGCGACGTGCCACGATCCCGGGGTAGTCCCGGGCTGCGGCTGGTGTCGGGGAGGCAGACCGGGCGCGGGCGCGTTAGGCTGCACGCCGTATAACCTGCGGAGACGCTCCGTCTCCGCTTCAACTTCGGCCGCCTTCCGCCGCCGTTCCTTCTCCTCCTTCTCGAGCATCTTCTGGATGCGCTTCGCCTCCTCGGCGTCGCGGCGCTCACGCTCGCGGGCCTGCCGCTCCTCCTGGGCGACCATGGCCTGCAGACGCTTCGTCTCGTTGTCAATCTCCCACTGCGCGCGGGCGTTGGGTCTAGGCGGGCCGTTGTTCATCGCTTGTGCCGGGGGTGAGGCGGGCTTGTTGCCGATGGCGCCGGACATGGCGGCCACAGGGGATGCGGGCCGTCCGAGACCCATGGAGGCTGGGGGAGGCTTGGAGTTCTTCCGACGAGCGGCCATCGGCGAGGGCATCGACGTAAGGTTGAAGACGTTTTGCCTGGGGTTGAGGAACAAGTCGCGGAGGACCTCGGCACCGAGCAGCAGAACGATATCCAAGCCCTTGCGGTCTTCGACGTCCACACGCTGCAGGTTGGGCTCGTAGATGGTGACGGCGCTCTCGTGCTTCCGGTCCTTGAACAAGGCGACGGTAATATCGGGCTCCTTGCTCTTCTTCCCGGCAACGCTCTTGCCGACCATGTAGCAAGTCATGTCCTTGCTCAGCCTACCGTCGCGCTTCCAGCGGAAGATGACCTTGGGAACGGTGTCGCTGATGGGCGGATCGTCGGCGGAGCGGTCGATCATACTGGCGCTCGGGGCGCGGAAGCTCTGTTCGGGCATCTCAAACTCCCAGCTGTCCGTCTTGCCCCAGCTACCGGCCTTGGTCTTGATGACAACCTGCGAATCCGGGTTGTAGAGCTGTAAGGTGACCTGGTCAGGCAGGATAGGCTGGGGCGGGGCAGGCGTGCCGTTCTGGGCACGGAGCTCGGCGGCAGAGAGGGTGGGCTGGGTCCATTCCGGCTCGACGAGGACCTCGGCGTAGATGATCTGCTGGGAGGCGATGTCGGTGAGGGCGGCGGCGTACTTGTTGCGGGCGGCCGGATTGGCGGGGTCGGCGCGCTTGAGGAGGTAGTTCGGTGTCGGGTCGGAGCCCTGGTGTGTGAAGTAAAGGATGGTGTTTTGGGGGTTGTCGGAGGAGGGGCGGAAGTGGAAGGTTGGGAGGTTTTCGTCGAGCATCGTGGGCGGTCTCTCGTTACTAGGCCGACGGCTCGGAAACAGGTGCACGCTGGTGAGGTTAGAAGGCGAGGGAGGTGACGTTTCTCGTAGGCTTCTGGTGTTTCGGGGCAGACCCAGGTGGTTAAAAAAGAAGGCCAGGCCGCAAAAGCAGGCTGCTGGACCGCTCAAGGGTGTGCGAGGTCAAGTGGGCTGAGTCCTCAACCCGTCTGTCACCCGTCCGCCTTGGCTCCTGAAAGACAAGGAACACTAGAGAAGGCTCGCTGCCGGCGTACGTACTGTCAAATCTATACGCGGGATCTACACGAGTTCGTCCCCACAATGGAAGGCCCTCAAGCCCAATGTTCGGTAGAGCCTTGGAAGAAGGGAAGCTGGAAAAAAAGAAATGGCAGCTTTCATTAGACGAGGTACAGGAAAGTCAAGATCAGAAAACCAAGTATTTACACAAGACAAGGACGCCCCGCTGTCGAGACAGGTTGAGGCCTGGAAGAATAGACTGGGTCGTGTCGTGAATAGGTACGCAGTAAGGTAGACGTGGGGGCAGGAATGTACCGCAGCAGCGGACTTGCAGGAAGGAAGTGAGTGAGTGCGTGCTGCGAGTTCAAACCTGGCCCCGCCTAGCACGCACGGCACATGCACTGCAGACGGAAAGTATGTACGTCAACGCTGTGCCCCCTCGCCTGCCCACTCGGATTGGATTGGGCCATAAGCAAGCCACCGGCCGCGGCCCAATCCCCTTCCCCCATATTTCGTCTGAGCTCCGCCACAGAATACCTAGCCCATTTCTCAACGCTCGGGACGCCCTGCTCGCTGATTCGTCTACTCGCCGGGACGAGTACGTCGCGTGCGGCTGTGCAGGCAGGTCCAATGCCGTTCCCCTCTGCAGGGCGTCCGAGGGTTTCCACACACGTTTTGGAACGCGATGTTCCCGTGTCTCTTTCGAAACGCGCGGCCAATCGAGAGGGGACCTGTCAAAAAGAAAGAAAGAGAAGGTTCGTGTCTTGGACTCTTGCTTAGCTTTGTCAGGGCTTTGCTCCTCTTGGTCTCCCTGCCTCCGCAACAGGCTCTCGAAGCGCCTCGCTTCAGACCGAGATGCTGCGTAAGCCGCCTTCCTCTTCGCTGCGACCTCAAGTCAAGGAGTCTGTCTGTAAGTCTGCCTTGGCGTCCCACAGAGCAGGCCCGTCTGTGTCTGTTCATTCGTCAGCCAGTCTTTAATCACTCCAAGTAACTGGGTGATCTCTCGCAGGGGCGCATAAAGCTCAAGCATAATTCTTCATGATAGCAACCCCTGGTACTTCCAGGAGGGTACCTACAGCAGCACACAGAATACAGTGAATGTTGCTCGGGACGGGAATGCAGTCTTCGCTTCTGCCGAGCCTGAAGACTGTGACGACCGCGTGGTCGGGGATCGGTCGCGACCCTTTACCTCGAGCGAAAGCGAACATCACAATCTCCTTCCGTGGCTGGGTAGGGAGAATCGGGAGAACAAGAAAATCGCAATAAATGCTCTCGAATGGGACAAGTAATACGATGGCGAAAAGGCTTCATCATCGCCAGTCTTGGCTCGTCTACGTACCTAGCATGCTCGCTCACGATTATGCTCCCAAAGGAGTTTTCATAAAAAGCAGCCTCCAAACGCCATCGTTGAGTGAGATCGCTTGCCGAATCAGCAAACATGGGTGCCTGCCGATCGCCAACCCGCCCGCGCCTCTTTCGAGTCACCCTTCGTTAGCCTCTCATGCAAGCAAAGTATCAATGATGGTCAGCGTTGTTTTCACTTTTAGATTACTAACACTACGTTGTTCGCCGTCTTTTCTCCCCCTGATCCCGCTTGCCTTCTTAGAAGAGGAAAGCTATCTGTACAAGAGCAGCCAAATCAGCCACGCGCGATATGTGAAGTCCAACTCCACAAAAAACCCCCAAGCGCCAGGCTTGAAGAGGTAAGGATGCAGGCGTTGTCTGGGTACAGTGGTGTGAAGTTTGTACGTTGATCGCCTCTCGGCTATTCGTTTGTATGTGTGTTGTGATGGTATTACATCCCCTTTCCCTCCCTTCCCCTTTTGACTCCTGCCGATCCAGCGCCATGCTTGGGTATGAAAACAAAGAAAAGTGGACTGCGTCTGCCTGTTACGACGCGTTGTCCGGCCGGCGAGGTACTTCCCCGTCCGGCATCATCATGGTAAATTGGGGCTCAGGCGGCATGCCGTTTTGACCTGTCCCTGCCGGAAGACCAGGCACAGGCGGGATATCTTCGTCCGTCTCTGGCCGTGCCTGTGCCCTCTTGACGCGGCCGGTCTGCTGATTGACCCAGCTGTCAACCGTCCTGAACCTGGGTGGTAGGTCCTCGCTGGCCTCCGTGTAGACTGTCTCGCGGTTCGCCTTATTAGCCCAGGAGAACCTACCGACACCGATTTGGCTGGCTCTCAGTGACTGGGTGACCGGCGGAGGGGGCTGCAGCACCATTCCAGGCACTCCTGGTACGATTATGTCGCCGTCGCCGAAGCCAGAGGAAATTGAAGAGAGCTCGCTGGCCCTGTTGACCTGCCGCCTGGCTGGGTCGTAGGCGTCTGATGGTTGGCGAGCCAGCTCGGACTGGTTGAAGTACGCACCGGCTCCCACGCCTGACCGCAAAGTCATGCCAGCTTCCGTCCCGTTTCCGTATTGTCCGATAATATGAGTGAGAGAGCCGCTAGGTGCATGGCTGACATATGTGCCAGTCTGGCTGCTGTATGCTCCCATTTGGCTAGTGTAGGTGCCGGTTTGGCTGTTGAAGACGCCTTGCTGGCTGTTGTATGTACCGCCGTTCATGGTGTTCATCCGCACCGGTAACGTGCCCGTCGGGCTGGTGTGTACAGGGCTGCCCCGGTTATCAACCGGCGACATGGTGTAGTTGGCAGCGTATGCGCCGCCAGGACCGTAGTTTGTCGGTTTTCCGTTGGGGCCGTAGAAACCGGTATCCAGCCGCAGAGTTCCTCTCGGTCCCTTTTCGTACGGAATTGGCTCGCTCCGCCGCCCGTCCAGGTTCTCCCATCCGCCCATGGATCCCTTGAAGAAGGGGATTTTGGAGCCGAAACCAGGTCGATCGCCTGGGTAGCCAGACTCTC